TTTAAATATAAATAAAGAGGATGTCTGTTAAATTTACTTGGTTTTTAATCATCTCAGCTAATCGAACAACACAATTTCGAGTCCCACTAGTAGCCATTGCATCAACAAGTATTTGTTTGGCAGTTTCTTGTTGATTTTGATGGTATTGCTGAGCATTTTGTTCAATTTGTTTTAAATCTTCATAGCTACACATCCTCAGCATTTTAACTAATCTACTCAATTGAGTAGTGTGTTTGGTGTCAATGCCATGATGATGATCCAAAGTACTTTGAACTAAAGCACGAAGTGCCTGACCAGCTTGTTCCACTTTTGGTACCGAGGAGAAAGGTGAACTTGTTGAATCTGGGAATTCTTCATCTCCAAACTAAAATATTCTTTATTGAATTAAAATGTTAAATAAATTAACCATATAGAAGCGTGCATAGTCTGAGAAAGTCTGAACTGTGTAGACCAAAGACTCGTCGTTGTCCAATGTCTGTGTGGGTACCTGTTGGTCTTGGGTTGATTGAGCAGAACGTAATTGAAGTTTGGCACAGACTTCAGTACGCATTGCCGAACCATATGGGCCACTTTCAGTTTTGGTGTTTTTGTAGACATACATGGAACGCATTTCAGAACTATCAAGCTGACAGCTATTTGGTGTTTCCTGTTGTTTTCCTTCGATCATCTGTTGTTCGCTTCCACATTTAAGCATTGCACGCATTACTGTTTGTCGATCCAGCTTAATTTAGAATATGAAATCCTATAAAATTCGTTTTTTGCACTCACAGTCTCTTCCTTAATTCGTTTTGGGTCACATTTGGCACAAGGATGTTCTGCCGTTCCAGATTGTTGTTGATCTCCTTCCTTTTGTTTATACCAATCCATTTTGCATTGAGCACAGCGAGCCTGTGGTTGTTCAGTTTGGAAGCCAGCAGAGATATCACCAATTCTGGAGCACTGCTTGAAATTGATGGATTTGGTTACATTGAAGGAGCATGGCATTTGCTGTTGTTTATTACTTTCAGCAGAACTTTTTTGTGTGCAATGTTTGGATGGATTTGCTGTGTTGATTGTGTAAGTTGTCTGGCATTCTCCTTCGACTGTAACTTCGGGGATGGTGAAGGAATGAGCAAGTTGGTCTCTCATTTGTGTCGCTTCATTCTCTTCAATGTTTCCTTCCTGCTGATTTCTTGATTGTTCAGTTGCCAATTCCTGAGCATTGTTTTGCCTCAAATTCATTTGAATCATGTTGAGAACACCTCTCTTCATATTTTTCGACCAAGCCTCATCCTGTTTATCGAATTGGACTCGAACAATTACTCCATCAACATAATCGAATTGACAGCAAAGTTCAAGCTTTTGTTGCTGTTCTTGCGGGATTTGTTTCTAATAATTTAAATCAGTTTTTAAGATAACAGAATTGTATACCGGCTCAAAAATACTTAAAGGTTCATAACATTGGTTGCTGTCTGTTTGTTTCCTTTGTTCGTTGAATTGTCCGAATCTATTTTGTGTCATGCATAGGAGAGCACGTCTTTGACTTGCAAAATAAACTTTAACTTGGGATTGAATACGAGTAACAGCTTGCTGTCCATTGTCAGATGTTTGAGTTGTTGTGCCAGATTCGTCTACAGTACTCAAACCACTCTCTACTTGAGCATCATAACTGTAGTGATATACTGTTCCTTCTTGAAAGTTAGGTGCACGCGTTTGTTCAGAAGCAGAGTTATCCATAAAAAAGTGTCGGTAGAAGAAACGTTTCAATGTTGAGGTTGCCGGGTATTCATCTCCAACGACCAAATTTGAAGGGCCTAATAAGCCTATGGCCAATAGAAGAAAAAGTGAATTAATCCGCATTGAGGATTGTTTGCCTTATTTCTTGATTTTTAGAAATGGTTTTGGATTTTTAAATGTTTTATGGAGAAGGAGAGGAAGAAAGAAGTTAAAAATGATGAGGTATGGCTAGAATGGACTGGCTTATATTCGCCCAAATAGCAACTATCTGGCGCCATCTTTCTGGCAATTAATGGGGAACTTTGCCTTATTTTCATACAAAAATGTCAATTTAAGGAAGAGGCGCCAATCATTTATTGAACAAAAAACAAAATAAAATAAAGAAAAAGTTAGTATAAAATATTCTTTACTCTTCCAAACAGCTGATAAGAGGTTAATAATGGACACATTTTGAATATATTATTGCCAATCAAATTTGCAAAAAAGTCATTCTTTATTAAATTGACAGGCAATCAAAAAATTGTGATAATAAACAAATAATAAACAATTTTTCTAGCAATAGAAGTATTCATAAAATAATTTTTTAAATTCATTTTGCATACTTTAATATATTTAGGGATGCCATTTAATGCTCATCGGTTTATTAAATTTCTAAGCATTTTTAAAAATACTTTTACAATAAAACAACTAAATTTATTTCAAATATATACACATTTATTTAACAAAAATTAGCATATATACATTACAATCTTTATTAAAATCACAGATAGCAATATTATTATTTATCAACATTATAAGCCAATAATGAAGTATTTTCTTCCCATTTTTATGTCGGTCACAAGAATTATATAGTCCGGCCATCTAATGTCTAAAAAATTAAAAAAAATTTTTTAATTTTTTAACAAATTTCTCTAACCCTTTAATTGTAACGCTCATTGGGGCTTCGTCTACAACAGGAGGTTTCGTATCTATAGCTTTCATAGTTGACATCTTTTTCCCTAAAATTTAATTTTTAAATTTTTAAATTTAAAATTTATTTAGTACCTGCTGCTACAGTCAAAATTGAATCGATTGTCATAGGCACAGCAACACCATGAGCAACACCTGATGGACACGGAGTCATTTTGCTTCCAGTCTTTGTCGCTTTGCTTCCATCTAGTGCTTTAATCCTTCCTTTTTTGACATCCGATTTGTTTCCATCCTTTTTCGTCGATGTTGTCGTTGTTTTGTTTTTTGCCAGATCATAGGGATCTTCGTTTTTTTGTTGTTGTTGCCGCTGGCGCCGTTTCTGAAATTTTTATCTTAGAACTAATTAAGAAATTAATTCTACCTTCACGAAGCAATAAATACAAATACCAATAAATATTGCCACAAACCCAAGAAGAACAACAACTACAACTAAATAATTCGCAGAACTTGAAGTCTTTGATGTCGCCGCTGTAGCCAATGTAGTCATGTTGAACAGAAAAGATAATGTAGAGCAGGGAAGCTGGACTTGATATTTACTTACAAAACTATTTATGGTGGCTGATTTAATCAAGAAAAGGTTATCTGCTTTTATAGAACAAAGATTAAGGTGATAATACTGATTTAAATATGTAAACATGATCATTTGTTGCTATTATATTTTGGTGAAGTTCTAAACAATTGTAGTGATACTAATAAGAATATTTGTGAACATTTCGATAAGAATTGGCAAATTATCACCAGTAAAACTATTTATCCCCCATACCAGTAAATACAAACGATTTAATCTATGTAAATATTAAATATTTTTTTTATTTTCAAATGCAGAATCTTTTCTTTCACAACATAATTACAGTTTTAATTTTTATTATTATTATTCTTCCTTTACTTAATTCAAAATTAATTTATTGAATTGATGTCGATGGATTATTGCCTGAATTTGTTGAAATACTTTTACCTCCTTTAATTCCTCCTCCACCATTATTATATCCATAATTAAAAGATATTCCTCCTAATTTTTGGCAATATGGTTGTTTATATTGATTTAATACACAAAAATAATTATTTGGACATTGTTGATTTAAACCTTTAATTTAATTTAAAAATATTTATTTATTTTTTACATTTTTGTTCAAAAGTCAACCCATAAGGATTTTGACAAATTAAACAGTATTGAGTTGGTTGACAAATTAAAGAACCACAATCTTTTTTTTGAAATAAAAATATTTTTATTTATTATCAGAATAAAATTACATTTTTGTTGTTTCTCTCCTGATATTCCAATTCCTCCAAGATTTTGGTAAAATGGATAATTCCCTAAAAACGTAAATTTTAAAATAATTATTTTTAAACCATAAAAGTTGCAGGGAGTCCCTGGAGGAGAATTTCCACATCCAAAATTATTTTGGGGATAATTTGGTAGTGAATAGGAATTAAGCAGTGGATGTTGATAATAATATTGTTGATTTGGATGTTGTGGAAGAAGATTTTGTAAATGTACAAAATAGTTAATTGAAATGATGACAAACAAAAACTAATTAAATATATTTAAATTGAAATATATTTAAAGTTAAATTAATTAATTAATTTACCATCCTCCAAAAGAGCATTAATTGAGTATTATTCATTTTTGAATAGAAATTTGATTTTAAAAAAATTAAAAAAATATTTTACAAATTTATTTGTAAGATTTAATTTTCATTCTTTAAATATATATTTCTTTTAAATTCCTAACATTTTTTTAATAATTTGTATCAAAAGAAAAGAGAATTTTATATTTAATTTAATTTTAATTTTCCATTATTTCCTAAATTCTTTTAAAATTTGTAGAGAAATAATTTTTTATAAAATTAATTTATATTTAATCATAAATTGAAAAAAACTTTTGAAATCACAAAATAAATTCGTTTTTGATAAAAAAAAATTTTTTAATTGTTCAGAAACTATCAGAGTTTCTGTTGAAAATAATTTTAAAATTAAAGTTCTGATCATTTCCTTTCACAACATGTTTTAGTTTTAAAAATTATTTTCAATTAAAGTGCAATAATCAAATGATTAGACAATCAATAAAAGTGCGCATTGCTTAAAATATATTTCTTAATTTAAAGGCTAATAGAGAAAATAAAAAATTGATTAAAATGGATATAGAAAATCTTAGACGAGGGATAGAGAATATATAGACATATTCTCTCTCCCTCTCTCCTTAAATAAATTAAATGGCACTTTTTTTATTTAATAAAAATTTTTTTTTAATTTTGAAATTAATTAATTAATTAATTAAAATTAATTTTTAAAAATATTTTTTGAATTTTTAAGGCAAAATGGGAAAAGATTCATTTGCTTCAACAACTCCCTCAACTACCCAAACAAACAATTCTATTGTTACATCTTCCTTGGCAAATGATGAAAGTTTTTATTGTGGATTTGTTACACATGTTGCGGTTTTTAAAGACTTTTTGTTTTTTTAATAAATTAAAATTACTTTAAACAAATTAATTAAATATTTTCGATCTCCCCTTTTAATAATTAATTAAAATAATTTTTAAAAAAGAGTGCAACTCTTCTGATTGGAGCTGTTGGATCATTAGCTTCTTCAATTGTTTTGGCAGCTTTATTAAAGGCCGGTGCTGAACCTGAGCATTGTTTTCTCGTTGGAATAGTTAAATTTTGAATTATAATTTAAAATTTAATTTAATTTAAATAGATTCTTTGCTCTTATGTTTTTCTTGTGTTGGGATGGAGTGTCAGAATGCCTTCATTGTATTGGCTATTTCTTTTAATTAATGTATTTGGATTTTTTAATTTTTTTTTAAAGTTAAAGTGATACACTAAATAATTATTTCACATAATTTTCTAAATACTAATAATATTCCCCTTAAATTCACCAGTAACCCTAATTAATAAATTCTAACTTCTCAAATCTAGTAACAAATAAAAGATTTGTTGCAAAAAACGAAATCCAAGTTTTAAAATATAAATATATTTTATTTAAAAATATTCAGCCTTTGGTTATCTGTTTGTGTGGCTTTTTCTGTGCCTATCCGGCTTTGAATACTTTTCTTTCTCCAAAATATTATGAAGAAAACAATTTTCAAGAAAATACTCGTAAACAACTTTTAATTCAAGGTTTTTTCTTTCAAACGAAAATAAATAAATTAATTTAAAAGTTAAAAAATCTTTGCGAATGTTAGAATTAATTGCTTCAATTTTTGCCATTTTAATTCTCGGATATTTCCAATCAATTGTTTTTCGTGCACATAATTGGCTTCAAAAAATTAACAAACAAGAAGACCAACAAATTGTTTATTTTAATGAACAAAATATTTAAAAATTGTTTTTTGAAGGAAGAGAGATTAAGAATTTGTAAAGAAAAGAATTTGTAAATATTTTGTGTGGAGAGGAGTTGAGTAAAGAAAATTTAAACAAAAAATTATTTTAAACAAAATCTTTCTTTTTTCTTCTAAACATTATTTTTAATTTTTTCTCTTTATTGTTTCGAAAAAAACTATTTCAAACACAATTATTTAAGCATTTTTATTTATTTAGTAAAATTTACTTTAAATTTTTGGTATTATTATTTAAAATATTTTAATTTAAAATTAATATTACAAATTTTAATAATTAAATATTAAATTATTACGAAATAATTATAAAAATAAAAGGTAATTTAATTTTTATAATTTATTATTGTGCAAAAAAATAAATAAACAAAAAAGCTTCTTTATTTCAACATTTCCTTTATTTATTTTTTCATTATTTTTATTTTTATCTTTTTCCTTTCTCTCAATTATCTCTCTCTTCCTCAACAAATTTTAAAATACGTGGCAGATTTCACTGGCATTCTTTCAATAATGTCAATAAATTTTTATCAAAATCAATTGCCAAATTCTCGCTACCATTAAATTAAAATTAAAAAAAAATTATTTTTATTTTTTATTGTTTTAAATTAAAAATTAATTTTATTTAGAAAAACTTTTTAAAATTTAAAAATAAATAAATATTTTTTAGTTTTTATTTGTAAAAAATTTATTTATCATTTTCAAAAATTCTATGATTTTTGAAATATTCAATTGTTCACCACTTTGTTGTGCAAACAAATCTTTTAAAAACCAAAAACTAAAACACAAAAAATCTTCAACAACATTAAATGATTATCTTCAACGTTCTTCTAATTTAAATAAAAAATATTTAAATTTTGAAAGAAATGATTGGAAAAAATATTGTGGAATTAAATTACATGTTTTGGTTAATTTAAAAAATTTATTTTTTAAATTAATTTTTCACATTAAAGGAAGCAACAAAAATAATTTCAATTTTTGGATGTTTATTTGCTTTTTTCCCTTTATTTTTATTTAAATTTTCTTTATTTGATATAAATTATTTTAATTTGTTAATTAATTGTTTAACTGTGTTTTTGGCTAATGGAAGTTTGTTTATGGCAATTAAACAACGAAAAGCAATTCTTTGTTTACCCTTTCTTTTAATTAACGTAATATTTTAATTATTTTGGGCGCTCTTTAGGAAGGCTTTTTTTAAAATACACACTTACGAGGGTATCAAAAAGTTATTCAAATAAAATTCCTCTTTTTCCCTTAAAAATAAAAATTAATTTTTAAATTAAAGATGCTATCAATTTCCTTAATTTTCAATTATATTTTCATTATTCTCCGAATGTTTTCTCCCTGGCCTGTTTTGGATACAATTTTGGGTATTGGATATGTTAGTGATCAATTGGAGGAAGAAGATAGAGAATTAGCTTCCGGTTATTTTTTAATTAATTTTAATTTTTAATTTAAAATTTCCAAGCTTCCATTCGTTTACTACTTCTTTGGCTATTTTTATTTATTTTTATTGCTTGCCTTCTTTTATGGATTGAATTAATTGTTATACAAACATTTAAATATTTAACGAAAATTTCTGTTCAAATTGCTGATATTGAAGGTTTTCTTGAAAATTTTTTCAAATATTTTTTTTCTTTTTTAAGTTTATCGTTCTGTTTATTTTATTGATAACAATTCTGAAAGTAAAAATTCAAAAAAGAAAAATTCAGATTGGTCTTCTCTTTGGCTTTAAATTTATTTTTATATTACATTATGTATATTTTTTGTATTATTTTCACCTTTATTTATTTAAAAAAAATTTTTTATTTAGTTTTGATTTTAATTTATTTAAATGGTTAATTTTAATCTTTTTTTGGAGGCTAACAAAGACTTCAATAGATAAGTGTTAAAATATGTTAAGTTTAGGTTAAATAAAGGTAGATAAATATTAATAACATTCAGAGCCCCTTCTTACTTTTCTTTATTAACTCAACAATCCTTTCGAGAAATAGTACTTTAATATTTAGTCAAACTTCAATATTTTCAATGTAAAATATTCCTACTGTATTTATTTTGTAATTTCCCTCTGTTCCTAATTTTATTTAAAATCCTTTTGACGGTGATTATATTTTTCCTGACAAATACAGAAAAAAGAGTTATTCTCTAATTCCCTTTCTTTCCTTTTTTACAACATTAATGTGAAGGACGGCAACAAAACATAATTTGCTTTAATTCCTTCAAAATGCCGCTCTGTCCTGAAAATTCTTGTAGAACATTTAATAAATAAAAGTTTTACCGACATCATTTAAAAAATGATTAACTAAAAGAGAAAGTATTTACTAGTTGATTTTGTGCCAAAAATTACGTAAAATAAAAAAGAGATTGGCGGTCTGTCGAGATTTTTCTTTTTTAATTTTTTGAATAAAATGATAAATAACTTGAGGATAAAGAGAGAAAATGAGGATAAAGACAAATAAATAGAAAATTAAAATACTTAAGTAAAAATAGTTTTGACGGCATAAATGAAGAAATCATTTTTCTCTTAATCAATCAGAAAATAGCAAAAATATAATTTTCGAGAATTAAAGTTGAATATTAAATATTTTAAAACTTTTATCTATTTAAATAATTTTTTACTTAAAATAATTAAGGTCCTAGAAAAAATTTTATCATTAAAACAATTTATTCGAAACATATTTGATTAGATTTTTGTCGAAACCTTAGTTTTCATCAAAAAATCCTTTATTATCCCCATATAAAGGTCATGTTTCCTTATTCCATCCAAAAATAATTTTTATTTGTGGATGTGCTTTAGGCTATACATATATGAGCGTGAAAGATTAATTTTATGTTAAATACATCCTACTAATCAAAGACAACATTTTTGTAACATTTTCAAAAAAAGCGCCGTCACTCCTCCTTTCCTTTACATTTTGCCGAAAATTTTTATTAAATTTAAAAAATTAATTTACTTCCGTTTGTTGTCCGTCATAAAATTTATTTGAGAAAAAATTTCTATATAAAGAGATTTAATCAAAAAAACATATATTTATTTACATATCGGCAATAAAAATAAAAAAAAAGACAAAAACAAAAAATTTTTTAATTGAGTCAATTGCGGTGATGAAAGGAATGAATAAATGGCATACGGTCAATCAAAATTTTATAAAAGAAAATATAATTATTTTTAATTTAAAGTAAAATTTAATAAAATAATCTTATTAAATATTTAATTAATTAATTTTTTACTTAACATTGATTAGAAAAATTAATTTATTTTTAAATCCTCATATAACTTCTCTTCAAAAAACCATTTTTTTTTGTTCATCCATCTTTTAATAATTTATTTTTGTTTTATTTTAACACCTAAAAATAGCCAAATAGAATATATTTGCTTAAATTAATTCGAAGGTACTTTGATTGAATTTTTGTGTAAAATCAAATAATTTTTGAATTCAAATTATTTGCTTTGCGTATACTTCAATTTTAATATTTCTCCTACCTTTTAATTAAAATAATAATTATTTTTCCTTTTTGTTTGGAATGAAGTAATCCATCAATTTATTTTTATATTGTTTCTTTAATTTTTTTAATTTGTAAATAATCTAAATTAAAAAATAATTTTTTAGTAGAATACCTTAAGTCCAATTACATAAATAAATAAATTTATTTTTATTTGTCCTTTTTTTGTCCGTTCGCATCAATCGCCGTTAAATTTTTTATTTTTCATTTCGTTATTCTCGTTGTTCTTTTTTGAACCGGTATTTACCTTTTTTACCTTTTTTTTATTTTCTGCTTTACTCTCGCATTTTTAATTAATGTATGGACATATTATTTTGGCAATAATTTCTTTTAAAATTTTTTTTCTAGAAATTTGAGGAAGAAGATTTGAATTACTTATTAATTGTAAATAATTTAAATGTAATAATAATCTAATAATCTATTAAATAATCTATTTATTTTTTTAAAGTTTATTAAATTAATTTATTAGAATATGAATTATTGGGATCCTATTAATTTAAAAATAAATTTAAAAATTATTTTTATTTTTTTAGTTTTGTTTTTTTATTTGAGCTTTTAGCTTTTAATTTTCTCTCAATTTTTAAAGTTATTGTTGTTAAATACTTTTAATATTTTCTGCATTTTTAAGAACATTTCTGTAAATTTTAACTATTTTTTAGTAATTTTTATTTGCGCGAATTCTTTATTTGTCTGTTCATTTGCTAAAATAGCCGCCGGGCAAGTTTGAAAAGAAGCGAGAATTTTTATATAAAAAATTTGAAATAAAAATTGGAACGAGAAAAAGGAGAAGGAGGAATGAGCCAAAAATGAATATAAAAAACTATTTTTGAGAAGAAAAAGAAAATAAAAATTAAAATATTTAATATGTAAATAAACAAATATATTTTTTAATAAATAAATTTTAAAAAATTTAATTTTTACTAGAATTTTCAGATTCTTTTTAAATAACTTCTAAATTTATTTAAAAAATAAAATTATTCACCTAATTAATTTCTTCTTTCATTTTCTGCCAAAATATGATAAAAATTTGAAAAATATTTATTTATTTGGACAGCCAAAAGAGTTAGAAAAATATTAATTAATTTTGTTTTTTTAAATTAAAACAAAAATTTTATTTTTATTATTTAAACTTATTTATTTTACAATAATAATCCAAAAAATTAATTTTAAATTTTAATTTGTTTAATTTTTAATTTTGTAAGGAATTTATTCAAATTTTATTTTTGCATGTCCTAAATTTTTAGTTTATTTTTGTTTTTATTGCGCGACATGTTTGTTGTTGTCCTATTCTTCTATTTATTTTTTTATTTATAAATATTTCCTTTTTTTAAACAATTTAAATTCTCTCAAAATTATTTTTTTTTAAATTTCAAGTTCTTTTGTTCTTCTTTTTTTCTACCACCCTCCCCCTCCCCTCCCCTTTCCTCCCCTCCCCCTCCCCTCTTTTTTTCTTCAAAAAGCCCCAATGACCTCCAATCACACACACAAACATTTTGTTTAATTTTTAACATTAATGATCAACTAAAAAAAGAAAAAGCATTTTTATTTTAATTATTTTAAGGTCATCTTTTGTTTCAAAAAAATTTTTTGCGCTTTTCATTTTTTAGTTTTATTTATTTATTTAGTTCATTTCTTCGCGCGAACGTAAATTTTTTTTGTTATTTCTACATTCGCAAAAAAACTCCGAACATTTCTTAAAATTATTTTTTTATTTTTTTGTCTCTGGTTGGCCATGTGAGACATTAATTTAATTGTAAAATAAATATATTAATAACCCCCTCATATTATTGTTAAAATATCCTTATTTTTATTGTTTGTCGAGTAAATCCAAAACTTTCTTTTTTGTCAAAAATTATTAATAAATAAATATTTTTAAAAGTTTAATTTATTTTTAATCCTCCCTCAGCTATTTTAATAGAAAATCCTGTTATCCCCTGATCCACAGATGTATTGATAACTTTTCATTGGACTCATAAACATTGGACGCATAGACTAGAGCAGAGCCAAATATTTTTTGTTCCTTTACCCCTTAAAATTTGAAAAATGTTTAAAATCTTTTTAAAATGCGCGAAAAATTCTAAAAACAGTTTATAACAAATAAAATAAAAGCCGATATTTATTTAATGTTTTGGCAAAGCTATTAATTTTAGTTTTTAGTCAACAAAAGTTTAAGGAATTTTCTGTTTGTAATTTGCCGCTTTTTAAAGTTTTGTAGTAAAGTGCCTAATTTTATTTATTTTTTTTTAAAGATTTTCTTTTTAATTGTTGTAATCTTTAATTTTATTTTTATTCAGAAATTGTTTCTCTATTTAGGCCGTTTATTAAAGCTTTGTCTCGTTTAAAGACATAATTAAAAATATATTTAAATATTTAGTTTTATTTTAGATTAATTAATATTCTATGTAATTTTTCACACCTTTTAATTTTAAAAACTTTTTAAGCGATCTTCGGTTTTTTCTTTAAAAATCTTAATTAAATTAACGGAAATACTAAATTAATTACTATTCAAAATTTACCTCTAATTAATTAAATAACTAACGAAAAAAAATTTTTATAAATAAATATTAGTTAAATATTTTAATTTTTTGTTAATTTTTGTTAATCAAATTAAAAAAAAAATTTTTTGCTTTAAAATTAGAAACATGTATAAATTTCTAATTTATACATTTTAAATTTTAATATTTTAAAAGCCAATTATTTAATTCCTGTTTTAATTAAAATTTAGGGTTTTTAAAGTCCTTTATTTGTTGAAATAAATATTTTAATTTTATTTTTAATTTTATTAATTAATAAAATTGTTTTTTTTTCAACTAATTTTATCATTGCAAATACATACATATAAATTTCATTTTTCCCTTCTTGTTGTCGTAAATCATCATATCTACCTACCGTTGGATGAACATTTTATTTATTTATTTATGTAGCTTTTCCTAGTTATTCTTACTCTGAACTTTTTCTCTTTTTTTTCTAAAAAATATAAATTTCTGTCATTTTTATAATATTAATTAATTTATTTGTTCTGATTTATTTACGGTCATCTTCCATTAATGGAGGAACATAAATTGACTAATTTGGGCAACAGAAGTGTGTTGAGAATTACATATTACTTTTTTAGTTCTTTATATGGAAATGAAATATTAAGGAAAAATTATTTTTGAAAAATTAATTTTTGGGATTTAAATCTTTGGTTTTTTAGAAGAATATATTAATTTTAAGAGGTTAAAAATCTTTAGAAAAGTGCAGATTAAAGATTTAACTTTTTGATATTCTCTTAAATGATTTTATAATAATTCTCAGAAATGATTTTTTTTGTTAAATAAAAAAATTAAAAAAAAATACAAAACACACAACTTTGCGGTTTGTAGATATTTAAAAAGATATTACTGACAGATAACGAATGAATGGAAGGGAATTAAAAGGGAATGAAAGAAGAAAGGGGGAAAGTATGGGAAGGGAGGAGGATCAATCGGGAGAAAATGAAAAAAAATGGAGAAAAAATATTTAGAAATCAATGATTGAAATATGGAAAAGGTTAAAATTGGCAAATTTATTCTTTCGGAGTAGGCCAGACCGCCGTCAAATCTAAACGTCAATATACCTTGATATATCGAGCTAAATCAGATACAATGAATCATGCCAAAATTGTCCTGACACTGCTTTAATAAACTGAACTGTAAGCATTTTGGTAGATTGGGCTGCAATAGATAGGCGTGAGATTATATTTAATAGTTTATTTACTAGAGATCGAACCAAACAAATATTTGACGTTGGAAAATCAAATATTTGATCAAATATTTGTTTGATGAGTTCTGAAAAAAAATCAAATTTCTTCAAATATTTCCAAATATCAAACTATTTGATTTGATATTTGATTTTACCGTTTGTCCGATCTCTATTATCATTTTTGTTGATCAAAGGGAAAAAATGAAAATTAGTAGAAAATAAATTATTTTGTTAACGCGTGAAATGTTTTTTTAAATGTGTGAAAAATGAAAATTGAATATTTTTACAGAAATCTGCAATATTCTTAAATTCCTTACTCCAATTTTTTCAAGAAAAGTTGATAATTTTTTAAAATATTTTTTAATTTAGTTTTTTCATTCCAAATAAAATTTATTAAAATATTATTAATATTAAATATTCATTTTTCTCTTCTGACCACTAAATATATACTTATTAAATACCCAATACTTCAATTCAAAACAACAAAACACACACAAACCAAAAACACAACAGTTGTTCAAATTTTGGTTTATAAATTAAGGAAAGGAAAAAAAGGGGGGAGTAAGTAAATTTTGTTTTTAGATTTTGACCGATCAAATAAATAAATTATTTTTAAAGATTTTCATTTATTTTTGATTTGTACCACCCGCAATTAAAATTATATCACAGGCGGTCATTGTGGTCATATAGGTGACGTCAGTAGGGTAAAATTGATTCATTGATTCGTTTGGCCATTTATAAAATAAAAAAGAAAATTAATTAATTAATTTGTAATGAACAAATTAATTTTTAAATATTTTTTAAAGAGATATTATTTTTTATTTCCCTATAATTTGTCTTTATTTATTACACCTCCAATATTTTTAAAGAATATAAAACATTAAAAAAATATTTTGTCATTATTTTATTATTAATTTATGTCATTAAAATTTTTTAATTCTCATACTATCTAAATAAATAAATACATAATTATTTACTTTCCTCTTTTTTTTATTTCTTTAAGTGATTATTGGTAGTTGCTACTTTCTTTTAAAAAATATTTTTATTTTTTTTGTCCCGCCTTCTTTATAAAGTATATTTTTCACTAAAACGTCCGTTATATCCCCTTCTTTTTTTCAAAAAATATGTTCGTTTTTCTCCTTTCATTTTTCCCATTTCTCACCCTTCTCTTCCCTTAATTTTCTAATTCGGACAACCAAAAACCTTCTTTTTCCTTTCCTCTTCCCCCAAAAAAATTTTTTTCCTTCTTTTTCTCCACATAATCCATCATCCTCATTTTCTTTTTTCTAATTTAATGGCCAACCAAAATATAAAAAAACTAGCCAATCGTTGGCTGAGGCACGCGCAAATTACTTCAAGTAAGAAAAAAGGCATCCGTTCTCTCACTCTCTCTCCCAACAATTCTTTAAAAAAAGTTTTTCTCGTTTCTTGAAATTTTTTTCAATTAATAAATTATATTTTATAACACATTTAAATTATTTTCAATTCCACCTCCTCTTTCCTCCTATTAATTTCCTTTCTAAATAATTTTCTTCTTCTAAATACTACTATTTACCTTTCTAATAAAAAAATAATTTTTAATTTAATTAATTTAAAAAAGAAAATAAATACAAATATTTAATCTTTATTTGCTATTCAACTTCTCGAAATCTCGAAAATCCTTTATTATTTTATACAAAAGATAATTTTCTTTAAACCTATTCAAATTTTTTAAATAGAATATTAAAAAATTTTCTAGAAATGATTAATTTTTGCCTAAAAATAATTTCGGCTTTTGTCCAGATTATGAATCCAAACTCACCTTTTTACGCCCAATTATTCTTTATACGTGATAAGGAACCATTAAGCGTGTTAGTACCTATGTTCCGGCATTATGCGTGGGCACTATAACTCTGAGTGAATAGAGCTTCTCTCCCATAAAAGATCTCTTGCCCAAATTACTCCAATAGTACCTACGCGTCTAATCACCCTTTGTGCGTCCAATGAACCAATGCGCTCTAAGGGGGTTAAAATATTTTTTAAATACTGTACCTCCATTTCCCGTTGATTTTTGAGGTTTTGTATATCCTTGAAAAAAAAAGTTACAGACTTCGTTCTTGTTTATTATCCACTCAATATTAATAGAAATATACTGAATTTTTTGCCTTTTTTGTGACATTTATTCATCTAAGAATTTAATTTTTATCAAGTGTGCATAAACTTTTGCACCACAGTGTATTCAGATAATGCCAGCAAACCTTTGTATATATTTTTTTAATAATTTAACAAAATATTAACCTATTTATTTAATATTTTATTTATTTCCTTTTCTTTAAATTTTATTACAAAAATAAATTTTATGTAAGCATTGTATTTATTTAGACATTAAAATTTTGTTAAAACATCATTAAAACGTGTGGATATACATAGGTGTATTTTGTAATTTAAAATTTTTAACAATTGAAAGCAACAAAAATCAAAAAATATTTTTTTATTTTAATTTTTGTTGCTTTTATTTGTTAAAAGCTTTTTAAATTACAAAATAAACTAAATAAACTAATTTTTATTTTAGGCAGTTGCCAATAAAATTATTTTTAAAAGGGAAAAATTTAAATGAATCAACAAAATCATTCTTCTTCCTCTTCTTCCTCCAATTTGACAACAACAACCCCAACAAATAATTCAACATATTATTCAAATAATAATTTGAATTTTAATAATTTAATTGAAGAAGAAAGATTTTTAAATTTTAATAATTCTTTAAATAATTACGAATTTAATAATAAACAAAAATTATTTATTAAAGACCACCAAATTAAAAATGAAGAAGAATTAAATAATTTATTATTAGAACAACAACAACAAAATAATGAATTTAATCAGAATTTAATTGATGGTTGTTTTGAAAATTATTTTTTTTAATAAAAAATATTTAATAAATACCTAACCAAACCAGAATTTTTTTAAATTTAACATTAAAAATAAACAATTATCCCCCCATCCCCCATTTCCTTATTAATTTTATAAAAAAATTTCCAACAGTCAATGCCTCATCTTCTGTTGGAAATGCTTCGTCAGGCGATTTCTTCTCTCCTCTCCACCAACTTTTAATGCCTACTTCCCACCAACAACAACAACATTTACACCATCCTGGGGAACCTTCAGGGTCTTCTTCGTACTTTTGTTGTACTGATACAACGGCTTCTTCAGCTCCAGCAGACCCTCGACCCTCAGGTTCTATTGGTGAACGTCGACAACATTATAAAGCGTTAAAATTTTATTTTAAAAATATTTTTAAAAAAAATTAAAGAAAATTAAAAGAAAAGCCTTTTAAAAATAATTTCAAACAAAAAATATTTTATACAAACATAAAATAAAGCACTAATCCCCCCCCCCCTCTTTTCATCCACTTATTCTACTTCAAGACCTTCAAATGACCGAAAAAGACCTTATCCTTGTTCTTTATGCTCATCTCGATTTGGATCCAAAATGGAATTGGAAGAACACCAAAATTCACATACAGGCCAGAAACCCTTTCAATGCGATGTTTGGAAATTAATTTTTAAATTTATTTTTAATTTTAAAAATATAAGGTTTGTCAATCACGTTTTAATCGTCGTTCTACACTTTGGAATCATAAAAGAATACATAGTGATGCAAAACCTTTTATTTGCACTGTTTGTCATGTAAAAAATAATTTAAATTTTAAAAAACATATTTTTTAATTCAGATGCAATTTAAATGGAAAAATTCATTAAAATGTCACAAGTATTTTAATTTTTAAATTAATTTTTAAAAATTCAAAAAAGGGAAATGCACCTTCGAAAAAATGAATTACAAGCAAGCTCCTTTCCAGAAGTAGATGCTACACAAATGTTGACATATGCAACTGCTGCGAAAAAGAAAATGGTGGTTTCTATTGACACTTTATCTCAAAAAATTTTTTTTGAATTAATTCTGAGAAATTGGGATTAGGTTTCTAATATTTTGAACACAACCCGACCCAACATTTCAATATTTCATAATTTTTATTTAAAAAACTCTCATTTTACCTAGATTGTTTAAATTTTAAATTAATTTAAAGGGTGAATTAACTGGCAAAGACCCATCTACAATAACTCTACTTCCAACAACTTCAAATAATACTTCTCGATTTTTAACGTGTGCAGGAACTCCTCGTAAAAGAGCTCCACCTAAAACACAAAAAAATATTACTAAAATTCCAAAAACTTTTGAAGAAGAAAATATATTACCACCAACATCCACAATTACTTCTACTTCATTTTCTCTTCCATTTCTTCCCCAAACTTCATCATCTTCCTCTCAAAATTCAAATTTTTCTCATCAATTTTTTGGAAAAGAAATAAAAAATAATGAAAATCAAATAAATAATTCTGAACAAATTTTGGAAAATAATTTAGTTGGAGAATCTAGTACATCTTTATTAAGACCTCAGCCATTAACAACAACTTCAATAAATAATGAATTAATTATTTCTAATCAAATAATTACAGAAAATAAACAAATAAATACAACATCCAATGCTGGGCGAGTTTTTCTTTTAAATTTAATTACTGTAGAGGGATTAAAATATATCCACAGAAGGGGATTAATCTTGGTCATTAACAGATAATTAATCTCAAAGAATTTAAAAATAAATCTAAGAGGATACTCAATTTTTAAATGTTTTATGTCCTCTCTCCCTCAATAATTTTGTTTAAATTTTCGTTTTATCGAAAATTTAATTTATATGAACGATATTACAAGTAGAGACCGGACTGGGAGTGTCGTACGAGTATCGATATCTCGAAAGATCTCGATTCTCTTCAACCGAGCTTTTCGATCGAGCTCTTGTCTAATCTAAAAAAAATCCTCAAATCAATGAAAAATCTGTTCGAAAAAATTCACTAAAATTTATTTTTCAAAATTTTTTATTTAAATAAAAAATTTAATTTTAGCTTAGATTTGTTTCGTTTACACTGTGGATTAAATAATCATCAAAATAATTCATCATCAGAACAACAACAACAACAATTATTACTTTTACAACAACAACAAAACAATTCACAACAATTTATTTCTCCCCAACATTTACAATTAATTAGTCCAACAACAACAAATAATTATTCCTCTACTTCTAATCAACAACAACAACAATTAATTGTTCAACAAAATTTTCCTTTAGATTTGTTAGCTTGTTGTAATAATAATGGAGGGGGGAATACTTCTTCTATTTTAGATTTTAATTTAAATAATAATAATTTTGATTCTACAATAACACAAAACAATAATTTATTCGGTCTAGACTTAAATTCAATTGCTACAAATGATTCTAATAATTTAATTGTAAATAATTTATTTTAATATTATTTTTGGGTGTGTTTACTTGACAAATAGGATTTCTCCTCATAGAAAACTAACAAATAAGTTTCAAAATTTTCTTAATGAATACTAGAATTGTGTACACCCCCAAGTTACAGCGAGGTCAAGGTACCGACGAGCTATACCAGGGCGTCTCTGATTCGATAATTTTGAACGAGGTTGTAGCTCGGCGGTACCTTGGCCTGCTCCCTAATTGTTTATTCTTAAGAGAATGATGGGATTCTTCTCTTAAGAATTAGCATATACCTGTGTAAAAATTAGGTTTCGCCTAGAGGCTAGCTCGAAAACCCCGAACTCAAATTAAAAATATTCAAATATTTAGTCACATATAAATTCATCTACCGGTGTTATTGACCAATTTAATATTCAAAATCAAAATTCTTTTTGCAACACAACTTCAGCGAACTCTTCTGTTGCAACTACAGTACTTAATAATTATCCGGTTAATAATTATTTTTGTTTAAATTTAATTATGTAAAATATTTTGGATAGTTTTAAATATAAAAATAATATTATTTTTAATTTTAACAAATATTTCAATATGAATAATTTAAGTTTGACTCAGCTTCTGTTCGTTTTTTGGCAGCTGCCGCAGAAATTTCATCTTCACAGCAACAAAAAACTAATTTAAATACAAACATTCAACAACAACAACAAATATTAATTCCAACAAATTCAATTAATTATGGAGGAATGTTTTGTTCTCCTACAAATAATAATACAATAAATGTTGCCGTTTCTTCTATTTCAAATAATTATAATTTACAACAACATTATAATAATCAAATAATACAAAGTAAAAAAATTAAAAATTAAATTTTTTAAACACCGAATTCGTCTTAATTCAATAATTTTAAACAAAATTATGACCAACTGCTAAGTACAGCATAGGAATTAGGGCATATGTATAACGAAAAAGTACCGAAATAAATAAAAATTAGACTAATATTTATTTGAGAGGATTAAAAATAAATTTAAAAAATTATTAAAGTATGTATTTAGATCAACAATGTGGAGAACAAAATAAACAAAAAAATTTATTTGACACCAATTCTTCATTATTTAATTCAAATTTAATTAGCAATCAACAACAACATATTATTGTAATTTAATTATTTATTCACATATTTTTAATTTACATATATTTTTAAAGGTTGAAGAAACAAAACAAAAACAACAAACTCCTGCAGATAACGAAATTTCAAATACAAATATCGCAAATGTTTCTTATTGCTAAAAAAACTTTTTTTTTAATTTGTGAGTATGAATTAACAAATCAAGAATAGTTATATTTAATTTCCCCCAAATTGTTTTTGAGATTTTATTGTGAGACAGAATGGGCAAGTTTTGTTTTTAAAAAAGTTTTGCAATATCCTTTATCCAAATTTTAGTCTTTTTAAATTTTCAAAATTTATCCTTTTATTTTTTTCATAAGGATTAATCAAAACTCGAAAACCCAGAAATTTATATATTAAATATTTATATTAAATAAACACTTTGGATTAAAACAGTTAAGCTAACAAAAATTGTTTTTAGTACAAATTATTTGTCCATGTATTCCCTCTTTTATTTTTCATAATTTAAAAACTTTCAATATAAAACTATTCTTGTACATAATTAATTCATAATTTTTATTAAAATACACTTCTATATAAAAATATTCTTTTTATTATCCCTTATATTATTTTCTATTTCTTGACAGTAAGAAATTTTTTCATTTTCCTCATAATTTTATATTTCTCGGCTAAATATGTATTTTCTTTTAAAAATATTATTTTATAGATAACACAGTTCATCAATTTTGAACTATTTATTGCAAATAAAATTTTAAAATTTTTATTTTTACATTTAAATTTTTTAATTGATTACGACAATTAAAATATATTTATTTTATCACAAAAGTAAATATATAATTTTTACATATTCATTAATTGAAAATTTATATCCAATATTTTTTATTAATAATTTACATTCATATTTTTAAATTAATTTATTAAAATTATTAGATTTTTATTCCAAAATTCTCTAATAAAAAAATAAATTAAGCGTTATATTTATGCAAATTAGTTGCTGATTTAACACGCCGCCATGGAAGCCTGAAAATCAAAAATTATTTTTTAGAAGCCCAAAACAAAAAATCGCCTAAAACCAAAAAGCAAAGCGATGTGAAAACACTGCAAAAAATTTAAAAAATTTATTCACAGATTTAAGACGAAAATAAAAAATCTAAAAAAATTAAAAACAACAATAAAAACCAGTGTTGCCGTAATTAAATGTTAAATGAAATTTAGATAATTTTGGAGTTTTTTTTATTTAAAATCTAAAAAACAACTAATTCCTGTCAGTTCCAAACGGCAACCTCTGATACAAAACTAAATAAATCACAACAATAGATAATTCTTTTGATGAAATGGTATAAAATAAACATTAATACCTACCGTATTTATTCTAATAGAATGGCCCCTCTAATAGAATGGCCCCTCCAATAGAATGGCCCCTTTTTGGGGGTATCGAAAAATAGAGTGGCCACCTCTATTTGAATGGCCCCTCCAATAGAATGGCCCTTTTAACTACAAAACATATACCTAATACATTTCTTTATTTTCTTATTACCTGTTAAATAGTACTCTTTAGTTAGGATAATCATAATATTTTTGAGCAAATCTGGAGTAATAAAAGGGAGATTAAGAGGGATATCAGGGGATTTGAGAGGATTAGAAGGGATATCACGAAGTTACAACGATTTACTGAAGATAACTAATAGCAAGGAATTAAGAGAATTAAGGTTAGATATTCATGGATTGAATAAATCTATTCCGATTCCAGTATATTACGTCCAAATTCCAAGATCCTACGAAATTTTAGGAGCCAACTGTACCGGAAATTTTGATTGTGTGGCACCGAAGTACATCAAAAGTTGCCTTTTCAGCCCCGCAGGCAAAAGGCTCTTATGTTTTATAGTGATACGAGAAGAAAAATTCACTAACCTAAATCAAAACTTTAGAATTTTATAAGAAAAATCGATTAAATTTCGAAGTCGAAAAATATTCGAGTGGACAATAGGTTCATCCAATCTCAGATTTTAACCTATGAAAAATAGAATGGCCACCTCCATTAGAATGGCCCCTCCAATAGAATGGCCCCTTTTTGGGGGTATCGAAAAATAGAGTGGCGGCCACTCTATTAGAATAAATACGGTATATTACTTTAATGATATATTTGAAATAAAAATTAAGTAAAATAAATAGGAGATGATTTTTGAATTTAACAATTTTATAAATGTATCACATCGCTTTTTGTAAAAGGGGAAAAGAATTGGAACAAAAACATAGATTTTAAATAATGGCCAATTTTATTAGTAGGGTTGTCGTTTCTTGGAAAATCTTCGGATATCTAGAACCGAACCAAAAAACCATGTTCGCCAGTTTGTTTCCGAACCGACAACCCTATCTGCTATTTTCTGGTACTCTTTAAAAATTAAATATACAAATTTATTAAAAAAATAAATAATTGCCTACACTTTGTAGTCATTATAGTAGTAAAATGTTTTCCAAAACTTTGATCTATTCCGCCGATATTGGAAGTAGAAAATCATTAATCCAATGGCAATAAATGATAACCAAACAAAATGATGGAAGTGATGATCAGAAACAACTGTAAAAGCAAGATAATATTTTATAAAAGACAAAATTTTTATTTCAAAATTATTCTCTGGTACCAATTTTCTGATGTAAATTGACTAATAATTTTAAAAAATCCAATTTAGTTTTTTTGACACCCTTCCCAATTATAGAAATGTGTACTTTTATATTTACAAATTTAATATAAAAATATTATCAATTAATCTATTTACCTCTAAATTCATCGTCCGCGGCATTCCAACCACCAATCATTTTATCCTCTTGTTCACGTATTTTTGCTTCAATTTCTTCCAATTTGTCAACCTTAAATAATTTTTAAAGGTAAAATTAAATTTAAAAATAAAACACCTTTCCAGCCATAGGATCGAATTTTGGATTTAATCTACGTTCTGCAACCTTATCAAGTTTACCATCCGAAAATTCACTAACTTTGTATGCTGGAGCCTGCTAAATAATTAAAAATGATTTTTAATTTAAAAATCTTCACCTTATATTTATCAATTTTGACATCATTATAATAATTCAATAAAAATTTTAAAACTTTCTCTTCATTAAAACTTCCATCAGAATTTCTACAATCTCCACAAATACTTTCTGGCGGAAATTGTTGTTTAGGAAACATTGGATCTTCGCTAGGCTCTCCCTTCAATCTTTTATTTACTTTATTATGACCACGCCATAACCATAATACAACGTCTTCTGCAAAAATTGAAAATTGTTTAAAGGTTACTAGGGGAAGTTTAAAAGAATTTTTTGATAACCAAAATTAAACAAAAAATAATTAATTAATTACCGGGTTTGTGTACATTCAAAAGGCCATCTTCTTTAGCCATTTTATCAAAATTTTTTGAGCAAACTTCACAACTCAAAAATTGCACTATAAATTGATGAATTGGTTCAAGTACTTCTTTAACAGGATCAAATTTTGAATCTAAAAATTAATTTTAAATATTTATATAAATTTGAAATTAATTTACCATCTTTTCTTTCTTTGTAAGCTCTAACAGTTAAAATATGAAAAATAGTCCAAAGGCCACAAGTAAAACCACGCAAGTGAGATTTTGAACCTCGACAAGCAAGATAAGAAACATTAGCCGGTATTGGATGACCAAGTTCTGTCTATATTTCAAAAAAATTTAATAGACGGTTACTCAAAAAACAAGCTAACAAAAAACAAGCTAATTTTAAAAACAAGCTAATAGAATAATTGTCAATAAAATAATACAAAGCTTAAATAAAATTATGATGAAGTAAAGCTATGGAGAAAAACTAAAAAATTTGGTCAGAAACATATAAAGGCCCCGATTTTTTAAAAATTATGATCAATATTCTCAATAGTCTTGTAACCTTTAACATTTACAGCAAATAAATTTTACAAAATTTCTCGATAATATATTCACCTGAAATTGCTCAACCTTTGACAAATATTTTTCAGTAGAAATCACTGGTTGGTGTTGTGCCCGAAGCCAGCTATCCAAACGAAAGAAAAGGCGACGAACAGGTACTGATCCGGGGCCGTGTCGTCTCATTAGATGGATAAATGACTGAAAATGGGTAAAGTAAAACAGAAAATAAGTAAAACCTTTAATGTTTGTAATTCTGCATTTCCAAGAAAAGGATTCCTGGGAATTTCAATAGTAAGTAAATAATGCAGTGTAGCAATTAAATCCTGATATTGAACTTCAAACTGCTTCCAATTCACTTCAATTGATTCGGCTTCTTTTCTTTCGGCATCATTAATTGGTGAATCCTTCAAAAATAATTTTTTGGTAATAATTATTATAATATAAAAATACTTTAAATGTCTCCAAAGGAATTTCAGGTAATTTTGGATATGGTGCAAGAAATTCATCCAATTTATCTTGCATTTCAAGCCAAGATTTGTAAGGGTCACTTAAAAAAAGAATTTTAATTTTGTGGAAATAGAATATTTATAAAAATTACCTTGAAATAAAAACAGGTACATTTTTACTCCTCTCAAAAATAACTAATCCAGGAGTTTGAATATTTTGATCACTCAAACCTTTAACAATTGGATGTGTAATTGAGCATAAATTTAGACGAATACGATTATCCGCCGCATAATTTATTATCAACTTAAAAAGTAAAAATTATTTAAATTTTTACCAAAACTACCGAAAAAGCGTTCAAAGCTGTTTCCTTGTCTACAATTATTGATAAAAAGTTGACAGACGAATCGAGACCCTTCCACAAGTCAATAAGAGTTTTAATACTAAAAGAAAACAGTTATATTTTCATAAAAATTTTAAAAACTAACTCGCTCTCAAATTCCAATTTAGGCCATGAATGAGGTGCAAGGCCCTTATCAAAGTCTCCTTTTGCATATTCACTAATCCTTTGTGTTACAAGCAATACATTTCTTTTATCATCTTTGAAATTAATTGAATCATCTTTATTTTTTGAATTAACATGAAAATACTAAAAAATAATAAAATTTAGTCAATTAAGTTGATAAACTAAAAGAAATACTTTGAGCGAAGGAAATGCGTCAATTGCATGTTCCCGACAAACTGGGGCATTAACTTCATCAGCACAATTGAGTACTGCAACAACCACAACTTTTCTCCATCTTTTCATTGAACTAAAAAGGAAATGATTTTTAGTCGCTATATATTTTTTAAACCAACGTTGCAATTTTGACATATAACGGTTTATATTCTATACAGTGACCTGTTCAAGAAAATTGGGGGATTTAGCTCTATTTTAGAAAAATGTTCCATACCACACCAACTAGAATAGAATTCCACAAAGAATGCTGTTGGCTAAAAAAAGAAATTGGAACATTAAAATATAATTTTACAACCTTATTATAAACACTTCTATTAAAGGTATTAATGTCCAATTCCAAAACATTATCTCCTGGTGCATAAAGTGTTGGCCTTTCACTCGCGGATGCTGATGTAGCAATAAGCCAACAATAAGTTAATAGAAGTGTAATGGATTTGAGTAGATTTAAATTAAGAGATGGTAGCCGTTGCTGTTGAAAAACTGAAGGATAATTAATGTCCAGAACCGGCAATTTCATGCCGGAGCGCGAGCTAAAATTAAACATAATGATTAAAATGACAGTTAAAAATCGCTAAACAAGTTGAAAAATTAAAAAGAAAAAAGATATTAATAAGTATGTTAAATGAATAGAAGAGTAATTAAAAAATAATTGAATTAGTGTAAGAATATCTCCAAGTCCTTAATCAATTCAAAGTAAATATTTGTTTACTTTTTTGGAAGCAGATTATAAAAGGAATATCTGGTATTTTGTTAAAACAAATATGGAGAAGGGGCCGATAGTCGGAGAATGGGAGAGAGAAAAAATAACTACAATATTAATTTAAAGATTAGGATAATATGAAAGAGTATTTGGAATGATAAAGGATATTCCATCTAAAGTAATCAGAAAACTCAAAAGTTGATCAATCAAATAACTTAATTGGTTGTTTGACTTAAATATTACGTGGAACATTGCGAAAATCAAAAATTATTTAGAAAGGTGTGTACAATCTCCCTCTTACTAATTATAAATCGATCTAAATTCACTCGCTATAGTAAAAACGATGATCAAAAAATTTAGTTTTTGAAATTATGTGTATTAAAATAAAAAAATACCGCTCATTTAATAGGCTCTAATGACAAAATCCTTCCTTGTTTTACCTATTTTTAGCTTTGCTTATTTACTTTTAGTCAATAAATATACAAAGAACATACAAAAAGAAACCCCCAAAGTTAAATCCAGTTTTATGAATGCGCAGAGGAAATTTTGAAATGAGATTAAATGGGGAGAATAAATAAAGGTAAAAAGAGCACATAAAAAGATTTGGCCGAAGATATGGACCCCGGCAATTTTGATTAAAATACATATATCCCAAAAACAAAAAAAACTTACAAATCAAGCGTTGAGTATTTCATTTATACATCACAACATCAAAAAACCCTGTATTTAAAATTAAAATATAAATATGATATAAAATTGAAAAAATTGCAAATGTGAATCAAGCATTCAATAAAAATATTTAAAACAAATTCAATTAATAATTTATCAAACTATAAAAAATAAAATTTAAATAAAGACTAAAATAACAAATTTTCGCACTAAAAACCTAAGGATTAACATATTTTTAAATATTTAAAATTACAGTCCTTAAAAATTCCTTTGTAAATTGATTTATTTTTTTATTCTCTTCGGTTCTTTTTAAGCTTTTTAACTGCTTTTTTTACTCGTTCTGTAGGAGACAACAAAATATTCGAAGAAGTACTTTCTAAAGAAGGCAAAACTTTTGTAAAATTAGTAATTTTCTGTTGAAATGATTGTGTTTCTGCCGTTATAAAATCATTCCAACGTTCAAAAGCCCCATGGGTTTTCTTAAAATTAAAAATATAATTTCCTTTAAACATTTACCTTAAAAATGTCTTCCTTGGTTATTCCAAGATTAATTTGTAAAAAAGAATCTAGTGCAACAAAATCTACTCGTCCCCATTTAAATTTCTTTGTTGAACTGTCTACCAGTGGTTTTGCATAGGCTTCAATTATTTCAATATTTGGAAACTTAAAATAAATTTTAAGAAAATTTTTGTTTTAAATTGCACCATTTTAATAGTTTCATCAGAATTATTAGCTTCAATAATTTTTCTCAAAGAAATCCGGCGTGGAGATTCAACAAAAACCGAATTATTGTCTTTTAGGCGTTTTGATAATATCCATTCACTTATTTTTTTGAGAGAACATAAAACCTGAAAATTATTTTGTAAAGATAAATTAAACTGAAAAAATTGTTTATGAATAAATAACCTCATATACTAAATTTTTATCAACATCATCAGAACTAATAAGAAATTCAGAGATCAATTCAAGAGCAGCAACCACTCCTATTTGTTTCAATCCTTGAGAGTAATCTCCCCCAGCCAACAAACCAAGTTGAATAAATCCACAACGTGTCAAACCTTTATTTGAAAATTTTTAAAAATAATTTTATTTTGCCCACCAAGTTTTTGTCTTATATCTTCAGAAGAATATTTTTCTAAATTCATCTTTCTGCTGAACATATTTTTATAGACATGTTTGGCACCAAAAAGCCAAACATCACTATCATCAGAAACAATACCATCCACAAGATTTAATCTTTCAAGTTCGGCACATTGCGCCTCAGCTTCGGCAGGAGATTCCATAAAAGGCAAACCGAGAATAAAAAGAAGTTTCTGTAAAGATAAATAAGTAAAAGTTAAACGATAAATTTTAGGTTATAAATATAAATAATAACATTGAAATATACAAAAAATAAGCTAAAAAAGAGCTAGGGGAATTGTGCTCAACCCACTAAAATCGAAGGACTAGGATCAAATTTATAAATTATTCAAGATGAAAACCTGACAATCTGCGTATATTCCATCTCTTTCAGCTTTTAAATTGTTTCCGTTTAATGTATTCTTTGAGGAATTATTTGGAAGTAAAAAATCATCTTTATTAGCAGTAATTTCATTGAATCCCTTCACAATTTCGCTTGATTCTCTGAAAGTATTGTTTTCGTCACTTTTGTCAAGCGGGAATTCATCAACAACTTCTATGTCATTGGTAATAGTTGAACAAGAATCGGAATCATCTATCAATTCTGGATCGGAAACATCAATAAAATCATCCGAGTTATCGTCACTACTTATTGGAGCAGATTGTGAGGTAACTATGAAGGGAAATTTGACGTAAAAATTGGAAAAAGTTAAGTTAAGAAACAAGAGTGGCTGAAAAATATATAAAACCGTGAAAATCAATGGATAAGGATCACTGAATTATTTAAAAAGGAGTAAAAAACAAGAATACCTTCACATTTATGCCTAGTATCAACATTTTCATAAAATGTAGATTTTGCAATTTTTTCCTCAAATCCATCGGTAGGTGGCAAAACATCTACTTGTTGAAACTTATCAGCAATAATAACTTTAATACCATTACAATCATTTTGAGAAATATCAACAATGTTGCGCACTCTTTCTTCTTTTAACTGTAATAAATAAACTAAAGAAAATAACCCAAATATTTTTAAATTAAAAATACTTTTTTTAGATCAAAATTAGTTTGATTTCTTTGTAAAAGACGTTGTAATTGAAAATTACTAAATTGTTTTGCATCGTCTGGAATATCAGATTGTTTTAATAGAATATTCCTTTCTCGTTCGCGATGCTCCTCCAATCTAGAAATTTGTGCATCAATTTTTGAACTGTAAATTCCGCTATCATTAACAAAATTGTCTGAAGAAATATCACTATCCGAATCATCCGAGAGTGAATTGAGGTTTGAAGTTGAAGGAATATTGCTTTAAAGTATTATAATTTAAAAAATAATTTATTTAAAAAACCAATCGTCAGATGTGTTTCCACAATTCCCAATTTTATGATTTCTAATTGGAACATTTTCAGACTTGTCCGAATTTAAATGGTCATTTGCCACACGCTCAAAAATTCGTTTTTGTCCCCTATTTATATTAAACCCCTGCAAATGAGATTTCAACATGCGATCACGCTACAAAAATATAAAATAAGAAAAATGATTAAAAAATCCTCACCAAAATTTGCTTCTTGAATCTAGGTAAATTATCTCCATCAAATACGAAAACAGGCCTGATTTTATAAAATAACAGTTTTGCAATCCGATTTATTAAAATAGTCAAATGTGGTTTGTTAGATTGTTTATTAATGTCGAAGCATTGAGCCTGATGAATCCACAATGAAATATCTAATGAAATTTAAGGTATAATTATTATAAGCCAAAAACCTATTGCAAGACGTTTTCCTTCTAGTTCCTCCAGAGTTATGGGAGTGGAAGTCACTTTCAACAAAGGCCAAAGACCATGAATTCCCATATTTACTTAAAAATTAATCGGTAATTCCAAGGCTGGTCCCCCCCCTTTCTTCTGTTCCCCTGACCATTTTGAGCTTTTTTGTTTGGCATATAATTTACTATATTCATTCGAAAGAGCTGTTCGAGCTGAGTAGAATGATACTATGATCGGTTAGATTTGGCGCATCTGAACAGATTTATGAAGCTAAATCCTCGATGGACGAGCTTTTTGTGATGCTGAAAGGGATTAAAACAAATGGTCATAACTATGTTTATTTAAGTCGGATTTCGATGAATCTAGTACCGTTCGACTCAGCTCGAAGAGCTCTTTCGAACGATATATAATTTGTCATAAAAAGTTTAAAAAATCGAAAGAAAATAGAAAGGAAAAAGGGGGGGGACCAGCCTTGGAATTACCAATTAATCAAATAAAGCAACCTAAAAACTGAAAAAATAATTAAAAATTTTAAAACTAAAACACTAGATTAAAAGCGAACACGCAAACGCGTTCCCAATTTCCCAAACACCTGGCTCTAGTTTTTTTCTCCTGACTCTTGTCTTCCAAAAAAAAATTTCCGATAATTGAGTCTGAAATTTTTATGATTTTATTTATCTCGCACTGGATTAATTTTTATCAACTGCGTTATGGACGCTCAACATCAAAATTGTGAAGAAAGTGCTTTCCTTTTTGGATCAAAAAAGATTCGCTGTTATGGTAGCATAGCTGACCTAAACTCTCCGACGACAAGTGCACCAAAGTTTGTCAGTTTGGCGGTTCACAAAGTTCAACCGAACGACACTCTACAAAATCTTGAACTAAGGTTAACTTTAAATTATTAATCTAGAAATAATTTTTGCTTTCTAGGTATAACAGTTCGATGTTCGAAATCAAGCGCATTAACAGACTGTGGTCTAACCAAAGCCTATACTGCAAAACAGAAATATTAATTCCTATATTTGAAGAAAACGCCTCAAAATCGAAAGAACTTTATGATAACACAACTATCAATTTCAAAAAGCAAAAGGATAAACTAAAGGAACGCTCTAATGGGGAAAATATGGAAGATGAATCTCTCGATCAATTTCTCAGAAGGATAGACACAAGTATGAGGAAAACAAAAAGTGCGATTGGAAGGTTTGATCGAATGGTGTTGGAAAATGATAAGTCTTACGATTTTTAATTTTTTTTATCACTAGAATCGTAGCTTTAAATCTCAATTTATGTAATGTCCTTTATCTTAATAAAAATCGATTTTTAGTTAATCGTAATTCTATAAACATTGATGAGTCGAACACATAGAGAATTCGCTCTCCAGCCCTAATCCTTAGTTTTTGAATATTTAAGTATATCAACAACCCAATGCATTATTCATTTTAATTTTATAGTACATTTTAATTTTACTTAATACATTGTTATGAATCTCCTTTTTTTCAACATATAACTACCCAAAAAATTTCAAACATCGGAGAATTAAAAAAAACTCAATCAATAAGTCACCAAGAAACATTCAATTTCCGTCATCTAAAATGAGACGTCCATCATAATCGCCTGCCGGTAATTTTGATTTATCCAATCCATTGAAGTATGGATGCTTGAGCATTTGTTTTGCGGAGATTCGATCCGACGGATTGTAGAGAAACATTTTCTGAAATGTAAGACACGCCCTATATATCAAAAATATACCGAGAGAAGTTCAAGTCCATTCTTATCCAAATATAGATCCATTTTTTGTTCCAAATGATAGTCACGCCACTTTGGGAACGATGGCTTATAGTCAGGCAACTGTGTAACACCTTCCCAAGCCTGTTCAGTTGGTGTGGACAATATGCTGAAGACAAAAGCATTTTTTAGTATAAAGATATAATTATAGAGACCCAATAAATTAAACCGGGGACCTAATATTTCCATTATTTAATATACCGAAAAATGCGAAACAGTTGGTCAATTTCCGAGTCTCCCTGGAAGAGTGGTTTGTTTCGTGCCATCTCCGCGAATATGCATCCTATGCTCCAAATGTCTATGCCTGTCGAGTAACGATGTGCGCCAAGAAGTACTTCAGGCGCTCTGTACCAAAGAGTGACTACCTAAAACTCAAAAATTCGTTCTATCTACAAAGAGAAATTACTTCGTGTGTATAAGCACGTATTGGGATACCGACAGCGCGGGCCAAGCCAAAGTCGGCCAACTTGATGGTATGCGTCTCAGGATCGACCAGTAAATTCTAAAAAATATTCACATCAAAATAACTTGCGAAAGCAAAAGAAAGTCCACAAAAAGAACATAAAATTTTAATTGATAAACCTGCGGCTTCAAGTCACGATGTAAAACTCGACGCTGGTGGCAAAAGCACATAGCTTGGCACATTTGATAAAGAAAACTCTTGACCAATTGCTTCTCCATTGATCCTTCTGCAACGTTGTCCATATAGCGTTTCAAGTCCATTTGTAAGAATTCGAAAATCAAATAAAGTCGACTTTCCTGAATTTGGGGAGATAACATAAAGCAGGCTAACAATAAACATGGAACCAATAAAAATGTAATTTTTAGAAACCCATTCAATTTTATGGCCCTCCTGAAATCCCTTTAATTTTCAAGTCCTCTTATTTTGTAGTTCAGAAGACCAGTAATTATCTCAAATTTAAACCTGCATGATAACGTCTTCCAATGTCACGATGTTCGGATTTCGTAATTCACGCAACATTGAAATTTCGCGAATTGCAGTCGATGGCACTCCTTCATCCTCGCTTTCCAATCGGATCTTCTTCATCGCAACAAATTTTCCGGTTTTCTTTTCGATCCCTTTGTAGACAACGCCGTAAGTTCCTATTGAATTTTTGTTAAATTAAAAATTATAATTAAGAACAAACCTTCGCCAATTTTATCAATTTTAGTGAAATCATCCAAGCTTCTTCCTTTGTTAATTGAGGGCCGCATGACGGAATTTTATAGTATAGAAATAGCTAAAATTGTGTAAAGATTATGAGGAAAATAAAAAAATGCAAAAAATGAAATTTAAGAGTAAGCAGGTACTAATACAAATGTAGAACAAAAACACAAACTTTAATGCAAAAAATTTACTGAAAAATGCTGCGACGATCAATCCAACATTTGTTTAGAAAAATAGCGCGTTTTTAGCATAATGTTTATTTAAATAGTAAAATTTTTGTAAAATTTTTTTCTAAACTACGGTGTTTTTACTTTAATTTGTTATTAATCTACTGTGTATTTTTTAGAATTTCTATTCTCATTGTGAAAGTTGTTAATTTGTATTCGCTAAAGTGAGTAAAAATAAATTTTTTTGACTTTTAAGATGGATAATAATTTAACCAGGTATCACAATTTACTTCTACGTCAGGTACAATCAATTGCTGAATCAATGAGAGATGCAATTAAGGTTTTTTATTATACTAAAGTGGATTATTTTTCATTTGAACATGCACCTCTGTTGGAGAAATCAAATTTTTATTTATATATTTCAGTTACATCCTTTGCCAAGTTCCTTGCAAAATGCGCCTCTGATGGAGATTAATGTGGAAATTCAATCAAAGAAAGATGATGACAAAACGGATGATTTGCAACACAATAACAGCCTAAAACAAGAAAATATCGCTTTTTCTATTAAGTCGACAATACCAGATAATGGTAATCTTTAACCTAATAATTTCCTTGTCAAATTTAAATTATTTTTATAGAAGTCCCGTTAAGTCTTGAAGACGATTATTTTGGTACTTGTTCCTACAATTCCGACGATACACATGTTTGGGATCCATTAAATATTCCGGAATCTGATGCAACTAGCATTTCATCATCCTCAACTGATGCTGAGTTATTCATGCCGATACAATCTGAGGACGACAGAGCATCATCTCCTGAACTTGGCGTTCCACATCCGCTTATTTTTCGCAAGTCCAATTTTTCAAATTCTAGATCAAAATAATTTTGTCAAAGAGTTTAAGATATGAGGATTTTAAAAGGCGAATTCATTTTATTTATTGTCCATTTTTGGCATTATGTTTGTTTTTTTATATTTTTGAGTGTGAGATTTTTCGTTATATCCCAGGCTTGATTTTTAATTTTAGGGTCCTTTTTATCTAAATTACACTTGAAACTACGCGATCTACACTCTACGTCCCCATATGAATTTTCCTTTGTTTTTTTGCTAATAATTTAATTTTGTTGCTATAAATTTTAAAGTTTTATACAAGTTTTATATTATTTTTGTTTATTGTTTTTCCAAGAAATAATCTATCTGATAAACCATTCTTTCAGAAGTAAACTAATTTTAAGAAAGTTTAAATGTCTTCTTCTCTCCCATTATTTGATTTAACTGAATGTCTTGCAAATTCTGATGGATGGGGTCCAGGACCTGTTAAAGAATCAGCTGTGCTTGCGCCATTTGATGGACTTCCATATCAGCCTTTTAATAAATGTGATCGAATCGGGCGGATTGTTGATTGGTTGGGTGTAGATCAGTAGTTAAACACCCCGCGAGGTCGTCAGGGTCAGCGGGGTCCAACCATTTAGCCCCTCCTCTTAATTAAACGCTCATTCAACCACTCCGTCGTCAAAGTCCAGGAGTTTCCAAAAGGTTTAAGGGGTAATTTGATCAAACCGGTTTAATAGGAAAAATTTTAAAGAAAAACAATCATCTCCCTATTTTTAACAAAATTTTATTTCAAAACGTTTCTCAAAGGTCAATGTTTTAAGAAGTGGTTTTAAACGGTTTAAAGTAAGATTTCTCATATTTCATCAAGATTACATAAGTTTAAATACCACCTTTCCAATTCTCTCCTCATCCTCTATTTTCTAACTCTCTTTTATTCACTTTTACCCTTATTTTTTACAAAATACAATAATTATTAAAAATGGAATAATAACCTCAAAATCAGTCATGCAATAATTATTTTTGGAAAAATTTGGAAAAATAGAAATAATTACCCAAAATCAGTCATTTGCAAATAAAGTTGCAAAATTTTTGTTAGTAAGGGAAAAAGGGTAAAAATAAAATAAAAGTAGTTAAACTATACTATACTATCTCTATATTGTTCACTAAAGGTACAAGAGGTTCCCAAAGGGTTCAGTAGGCACTTTTGAACCGGTTCAAAGTAGATACTTTTTAAAATAATTGAAAAAAACTTCGCCAAACTATTCCCTAGCCTCACACATACTACCTGATAAAATTGTCAACCCGACAGTTGACAATTGACATTTTGACATATGTCAGTTGACATATGTCATTTTGGACATTTTTAGATATTTTGAACGCTTAATCGTACCAAAATGGTTTGAATCTAAAATCGAGCTCAAAAATCGATTTCTAGAGCTTGGAACATAAAACTGTTCCAGGTATTGGCATATAGGTACTCATTCTGACCAGCTTGACGAGCTGAGTCGTAAGATATCATTCTTAGTAGATTTTGAATGAAGTGGTATAAAAAGGCCACAATTTCATGTAATCTTTAATCAAAATGTTTATAATGTTTTTATTATTTCCACTTTCTTCTTCTTCAAACTTATCTCTAGTTGATGATCCCAGATGGCAGGATATGTGGAAACAGGAACCCTGTAGATGCCCAAAATACTTATTGAATCTTCATTTTAACATTACAGGACCTATACCAGGAAGGTGTCAGTGTCCAATACACCTATTAAAAGGGTCTAGGGCGAATGCGGAAGACTTTGAATTTTATAGGTTAACACCATTTCGCCACTATGGTATAAAGAGATACAATGACAGTTTACAATTAGACTTGAACCTAAATCGAACTATTGCAACATCCCCTCATGTATTAAATTACTCTACCAGTTTTAATTATCTAATATATTCAAAATGGTGGTTTATTCCATATTTGTTTAGTTTCGTATAAATTTTACTTCACGTCAAATATTCCTAAGTTAGTATAAAAGGAGGCATAAGACCGAGAAATTAATTTAAAAATGAAGTACCCAAAATTATTGCCTGAGGTTGAATTTAACATTTCATCAACTGGGATTACAATTTCCAGTGTCCGTTATACAACACCCCGTTTTCTTCCCTATGACCAAGGAGGGAAGTGCCGTAAGTGTAAGAGCACGGAAGTTGAACTAGATTTTATAATAGTAAAGGAAGGAGTGGTAGTCTATTGCACACGATTTGAAGGAAGTAGATTTGTTCCTTTTGATTTATTATATGATTTACCA